GGCTACTGCGTTCGCGCACCTCGATTAGCCACGACTAGATAGCATAGAGCACCGGTTGTATGTAGTAAAGGATGAGAAATAACACAAATCTGAAAGGCCACTATTATTTGCGAAAGAGGGCTGACAACCCGGCCGCGATAATACCAACTACCACTCTAATACAAACCTGCTTGGTTCTGAGTTCTCTCACAATTGAACATAGCCTGATAGGACACGAAATCATATTAACTGAAGGCTCAGCGGTGTAGTTACAGTATTGTTTAATCATCATCACTGTATGCGACATCAGGCTTGCGGGTGCGATAGACACCCTCCATGGCGGGATCCGGCCGATTGTATGGCGACTCCACGACGGGCGACAGGTGATCCCGCGTACCACCGGGTTGACCCAGTTGCGACGGAGCCCTGCCTCGAGAAGCATGACGCGCCGCATGTCCGAGTCCAACGGCACGACGCTTTGCGTCTCGGGGTGGTGTATGCGGTAGGGCGTCCGGGGATGTTGGGCGTAAGCTCGCAGGATATCCATTGGCGCGATATCTAGATGGACCTGCGCGACGGTGAGGGCTATACTCAGGTTCGGAGCCGCGAGGAGGGCGCTGCGTGATGGTGTAAGCAGTAGAACGTATGCCAGAAGCGCCGATAGACTCACCTCGACGGGACGGCGCCGGACGTCATAAAGGTCTACTAGACAAGTTTTAGTCACGGCGCAGCGATCGGAGGGAAATGCGTACCCGCATCGTGACGATAGCTGCGGGACGTCTCGTAGCCTGCATCGGTCGCGCTCGTCACAGTCCTACCCGTGCGCGACCGGCGCTCAGGTTCCGCATTCAAGGCATAGGAATGAGCACCGGCGGTGGCCTCACGAGTGGGTGGAACCGCCGGCATGTAGTCGAAATCTTGACCGGTGGGCCAAGACGATTCTTGCAAGTCCGGAGGCCAAGACACTTCAGGGGGCGGAGTCTCACTGTGACGGACGGTTTCTACATCCCTGGACGGCGCGCGAGCTACCCCCGGTTGACGAGTACGAGGCACGGAAGACCGATGATTGAAAGCATTGGTAACTGGCTGCGACCACGTCGCACGAGGCTCCGGTGACGCTGACGGTCGCCGTCGGCGACGATCGCGAACGCCGGAATAGTCGTAGTCACGGCCGCGGCCGACGCCCATGTCAACCTGCGCAGGGGTAGTCAATACAACAACAACACGGTACCCGTAAACTGACCTCGATAGCATCCAATGGGGTACGACGCGAGGGCTGCGGGCGACGAGGCCCGGAATACCGATAGTCGGGAACATGGTCACTTAGCATATCAACCTGCCATGACGAGTTGTTAGCATCGTCGAGACGGGACACCGTAATACCTACATCGATGAACTCCATGGGAGTGTTACGCGCAGGCGGCGGCTGGACCGACCCTTTCCGTTCCCGCGACCGGTGCAACGAGGCATGGTTCGGGTGAGACCGAGGATCATTGGACGGCTCTTCCACTGACTGAGCGCGTATACGGCGAGGTTTGGGTTTTGGTTTGCGGGGCGGGGGCAGGGGCAACGGCGAGGCGGCAGGCCGTTTGCGAGACCGAGAAGGGGCGTGCTGAATTTCGACCTCGTCGGACGTGATCTGGAAACTACGTAAGATGGAAGGCTAGTAGCAACGTACGCGTGACACACCTCTATGACATCCATTTCACCCGCACCAATGTCTCCTCGCGATGAGCGCACGCGGGACGACTAGTGGCGCTTCGTCAGCATGTGTTTAGATCCTGAGCATCAGGACGTACGTGCTTAGCAGGGGCAGCAGGTTGCGAGGACTCTGCGGCATGACGGTGCGGAACCTGCGAGTGAGCAGTTAATAAAAAGGGCCGGCGGTGAAAGACCGGTTCCCTACCGGTTGTACGGATGGACGATGAACGGGCCGGTTGCCTGCAGCGCGGACCTCATCCTCTTCGGCGCCGTCGCCGTCGCCGTCCTCGTCCTCGTTTTCGTCCTCGTCGTCCTCATCCTCGTCCTCGTCCTCGTCCTCCTCGTCCTCGTCCTCCTCGTCCTCCTCGTCCTCATCTTCAGAAGATGCCTCAATTGTTTTTTGGCGAGCTTGCTGCTTCGATTGCGTAACCTTCTTTTTCTTCTTCCAGGCGCGATGGCTCGTGTTCCAAGCCGTCGTAGAGGAGGCACGGATGAGCACTACTTGAGGGATCGGTGGACCCCTCGGGCGATCACGAGGGGTGTGCAGAATGACATCCCGACCCCCAATCTTGCGAGGCGCAGGGCACCATGCCAATATTAACGGAATCGAGCCTTGCTCAGGCAGCGGCCGGTTGATCTCCTCTGCGAGGCTGAAGTGAGACGCAGCACATACCCGAGCTATGACACGACTTACCGTCTGTCCACCTCTCGATCCAGAACTGCGGAGGGGCGTTCTCGTCTTCAGCCCCATCGATGAATGCGGTGATCATCGACTTGATCGGTTTGCCGTTTTTAGCACCTTTGAGCACAAAACCGGTCGTACGTTGCTTCGGCTTCTTTTTCCCCACAGTGTACGTGTGGAGGTTGATCGACGGGTCTGCATTCACCAGGCGGCATTGGATCCTGAAAAGGTGGTCCCCCATGCGCTTCCATGGCACATTGCCGACTTCCTGGCCAACAGTGGCTACATTGCGTCAGCAGGAGAGTGCATCGGGAGAACTGGATGACGTTACCAAAAGCCTCAACGAAACGCTCCCTCAGCGCGCTATTGCGCCCGTCACGTAAGCCGGGATCGATCGGTTTCTTGGTTCTGGTCGTGGCCTTCCGTGCGGTTTTGACTTTCCGTGCACGGGACGACGGGACCGCGGTGTCATTGGCTTTGTCCTCGGGTGCACCGAACGACTGGTCAGGGCTATCTTTGGGTTCGACCCCTCGCGTGTCGGACGACTCAACCGCGGCACCGGCGCGCTGGGATTGCCCGGCCGGAAGAGGGATGAGATGGAGAAAGGCGTCACTATTACTTAGGAGATGGTCTCGGACCAGCCTGTGCAAGAGGTCAGAACGAAGTTTGAGAAAATCACGAAGGATGTACCTGAGCGCAGCTTGATACGTTTGGAGCGTGATGGTATGGTCTTCCTCGTAGCGCTTTTTGAGAAATTCCCATTCCGGGGAGTTACCAAACATATAACAACCCGCATCACCAAGATCAATGATTGAACCAAAAACATGGAAGCCATAGAGCATGTAGAGACGACGACACTAAGAATTAGTTAAAGATATTATTGCTCAGTGAAGGAAACTCTCACCAAGGCATTGATCTCACGGGTAGCGCGCTGCAGCTCATTGCGGACATTGCCCTTGCCTTCGTCGTCTCTGAGATAGTCGTCGATACAATCTTGACGCCATTCGTAGTAGGGCTTCATGATTTCAGCTTTGGCCTCTGAGTCGTCATCATCGACATCGGCAAATAGGGCGTTATAACTTCCTAACATCCGTGCCGCGAATGCCTTCGGGTCTACGATAGCATAAGCGGCTCTGACTCGTCTTACAACCAGTGCAAACTCACCTTCGTCGGCCCCCTTTCGGTAGTATTCTGCATACCACCTTTGATAGCGCGACCATGAGTTGGGGGAACGGTATTGCTTGGCGGTAGGGATGGTGAGCGCGTTGAGGAAATACCCTGCGGTCTTGCCGGTCTCAGCAGACATGGTGGCACACCAGCGATCGACCTCGACTCTCTTCTCCTCCAGGGCCTTCTGGGCCTTCTTGCTGAGGCGGCCAGGCCGCGATTTCGGGGACTGGGCATCTCCCAAAGACCCAGCGGCGCCCTGGTCCACTGGTGAATATGATGGTGTAGGCTCGAGCGCTAAGATACACCATCAGTGAATGCAACAACTAGTAGGCGGGATCACATACCTGAAGAGGGTTGAGCACGAGCGGTGGTATTGCCCGGTGAGGGACCGGTATCATCGGGTTCAGGGGATGGACGACGACGCGGTTTCGGCGGGGGAGTCTCAGGGTGAAACTCGTCACCGCTGGTGCCTGAGGAGTCTGGGTCGGCTCCCTCATACATCCCAGGAGCGGTGGACGTCCGCCCAGAGCGACGCCTGCCATCAGGCGGCATGTCGGGTACAGGCGCATGAGGCCCATCGCCTCCACCGACTTCGGCTGCGTGGCCATCTTCCTCCATTTCACCAGGCTGAGCGATAGAGTTCGCAGGGGTAGCAGTAGTCGGCGGGGCGGAAAGCACACCAGCGTCTTGGGCGGCTGCCCCTGGCGAGCGGTATGAACGATTGATGGCTGCCGCAAGGGAAATACCTGAGCTTGGGCTCGGGGTCGTGTGTGCGAGAAAAGCTATACGGTCTCGCGCGGTGTCGGACAATGGTTCCCTCGAAGACTGGTCCTTGAGGTCATGATCAGCCACGCTTCAGATAGCAAGCAACGAGAAAGCGCACCTCTTGGCGGTGTTCAACTCCAAACGGCGCAACCACTGATTGGTCCCCAGGAGCAGCCGCCGCAGTCGGCGAAGCGGGCGAGGGTGGCTGTATCACTGCAATGAGGAAAAGCGGAGCGCCCAAGGAGATTATACATACCGTTGATGTGTTCGGGACGGTTTTGAGAGTAGTCGTCGTTGAGCCACTCACGGATGACTCCGCCGTAGCTCCGGTCTGAGTCCATAAGCGACGGACTGAGCCAAGAGAACTTCGAATACTCACTTCAATGGCTGGCTCCGCGGCGACATCACGTTCCCCAGGAGAGGGTCCAGGACTTCCTGGCTGCGAGGCATGATCGTGGACGGTGGCAGCAGGGCCCTTTAACCGTAGTCAATCGTACGAACGCTGAAAAACCGGTGCAACCGAACCTGCGTGTCGCCTTTGCGCGACTTGTAAGGGCTTTTCGTTGGACGAGTAGACCTGCGTCCAGGCCCGCGCTCCTGAAACCCAAATATTAGGCACGACGCTCAATGGACACGGTAGCACGAACCTGTTCGATGCCAGCGCCCTCGGGCTAACCATGACGAAGTCAACACATACCCATGAAGACGAGATAAAATTCTTACATCGGGCGGGTCCTTCGACGCATGACGAGCCTTCTTAGATTTGCGTAGGGAAGTCTTGCCCGTATCGGTGCTCTGCATTGCATCAGGTGCCGCATACTAGAGTTGGAAAAGGAACTTACGGCGTTCCGGGCACGGCGGCGGGGAGCAGCTTGCCGTATAGAGTCCACGTCGGTGGTAGCAGTGTCCTGCAAATGGCTGTGAGCCCGGAGCACACAAGGACCTAAACTACGAACTTACCTCTTCTGCTTCACCTCCACGGTTTGGAGTAGAGGCATTTTCTGCGTCAGGCGCGACAGAGCCAGCCGTTTTCGACTGCGGAAGCATCAGAAACAAACTCAAGGTAACGAGAAAAATGCTTACACGAGTGCGTCGAGTAGAGGGCATGCAGGGCGATGGGAGTAATGGAAATAGACGGCGAGAGAAGGAGGCAACGTCGCAGGGCAATACTCGAGGGAAAGCTGCTGGCCGAACGAGAGAAAAAGCGCCATCTTTAAGCCTCTCGAATTATTTGCATGTGTTTGCGGGTTTTAGGGACCAGAAGCCGCCGTGATCCCAGAGGCAGAACGGCACGTCTTGGTTGCCTCGCAACTTGTCCATCATATCGGAAGCGTACCAGCGACTAAGAAATTCGGTTTCAGGGTCACGGACGCAAGACAAATTCGATGGAAACCCACATTGTGGGAATTCGCCCGGCGAGGGCGTTCCATATATTTCAACCCCCAAATCGATGGGTGCACTTAGGCGGCCAACCTCGTCATGCATTCCATCTGCTGGATTCTTCCTGCGACAGACACACCCGAGCGTCGCCTTTGTTTCCTGCGAGATATGCTGCATCGCCAGACCTTAGATGTGAGAATTACAACGCTATCGGTCGGCACATACTGATGTTCATAGCAGACGCATCTGTTCGTGACAGATTGCCTAGATTGGAGGCCCTTCTTCCCCACCGCGACAATTACGCACATCCTCCAACAGTATTGCGTTTACTTTCACCACGAGCGTGTCCTCCTCGGCGCCACACCTGAAGGTTTTCTGAGTGTCGTACTCCGCACCGGAGGTGTTCGACTTGGAACTTCTGCCAATGAGGAGGTGAGCTTGTGGGAACATACACCGCCTATTTGTTTAATACCGTGATTATTTCAGATGCTCCGCGAAATCTTCACAATTGTATATGCGGCGTGGCTTAATCAGCCATCCAACACCACAACGACCCAGAGCGAAGGCGAGATCGCCGTGGTGAGATACATGGCTGATGCTGATGTCTCCAATTCGGTGTACCCATCGTGGCTGAGAAAGCCATACGACGATTTACCAACGATACTAAGCGAGGATGATATTGCATTGCGTAGCAACATCCACGCCCAGGAGATTGTGGCAAACGCAGCACCGCGGGCGATGTGGGATGCGCCCCTGCCTTTGGCCGATGGCGCGCCGAGAAGTCCTTGGTTCCTTTGTTGGGACGATCGGCACGAGGAGGTTAGTTCCTAGTTCCTGAGATACTGACCATCAGAGGCTGAAACACTTGGAAGGCGACTAAGCTTCTAACGTACCTCGTCGGCGAACCGGTCGTGACGTTCTTGGACGAATATCTTCTGGATTTCCACCTGGGTAACTTCCACCGGTTGCACTTGCTGTGCACAGTCGACATTCGCGCATACATCCGCCATGTTCTAGTCCTCGGATATGTGCCAACACCTGGCTTCGAAAGACGCCCGGAGGTAAGTCGCCGCGTCTCCCCTTGAATGTAAGTTGAGAGTAACCTACTAGGTTCTGATCAACTGTTTCCAACGATACTACCAGCGTTGGTCGGGCCTTACGGCGCCTTCTGTTCAGTTGACGCCATCGGCTACGCCTGACATGAGCTTGCCGTTCTCATTCATGGTCGAGGAGTGCTTGGACCGGCATGGGCGCGGAGAAGGATTGCTTTACCGCGAAGGGCGGGGACAGGGTGATGCGTAGAATAGCAGTAGTCCGACCATCGGGCACGGGCGACCGCGAATTGGAAATGCACGGCGAAAACATTTTCTTCTGGATCATCACGGAAAAACTCCGAACGGAAGCGTGATCGCAGCTGCGTAACCTAGAATCAGACCGCGAACTCTCCCTGCGAATCGCTGAATAGTAAAACATACTGTTTAACCTCCGCGAGCCGTCGCCCCATCCCCTCATCCCCCCTCCCGTTGTGATATGGACGCCATCGCCGTACAAGGATCCACCCATGAGCAAGGCCAGAGTCCTTCCGATGTCAAACGACTTCTGAAGGACTATAGGCGGCTTGTTGCCTCGAATGTTGATCTGAGAGGTTTAGCCGTGAGTTACATTGCAATAGGTTCGCATACATGTACTTACCGCGTCAGGCGCATACATTCGCTTCGCTGCTGGTCCATGATGACCATGGAGGTGACTGCTGGCAAGCAAACGATACGATCCTGCAGCACGTCAAGTTTTTTCACCGTGAACGCGCGCTCTTCGGAACCAGCACCGATATCTACCTGCAATGGATATTGAGGAGGGGCGCCGTAGAGCTTCCCGTCACGATCCAGGAGGTACGTTGCGTTCATGTTGGTCTTCTTGCGCGATCGTGCTGAAAAACAGATAAAGAAGGTGCACATCAATTTCCGAGACGCTTATAACTGGTGGTCTTGGGAACCTCTCGGGTCCCGAGTAGGCATTATGTCGAATACCACTAACCTTTCGCTCCCTGCCCATCACGACATAGCGCGTATACTTCACCCCGCCAGCGGGAACCCCGTGCTCCCATATGAGTTAAAGGACGACACAGCTCCATCTCCCTGGTTCCTGCACTGGTGCGAGAAATTGGAAGAGGTGAGATTCCACGGCACGAACGTATTCAGTAATGCTCACCATGACCTAGGCACAGGAGCTCTTGTTCTTCATGGAGAACCCGGGTCTGCCTACAGCCGATCCACCCTGCTCTTTGGTAGTTTGGTGGCATATGACCAACTTCCGCATACTTCGTAGACGATGCAGTGTGAATGCTCGCACCTATATCCAGCACGTATTAGTCAATGCCGAAGTCACTCTCCCAGATGAAGGCGATCAGAAGCAGAGGGCACGCACATCTCACAATAATATGTCAATAAGCGCTGACTTGACCACAGGCGCTGGAGGAGGGGTTCGTGATAGTCTATCAGCGGTGTTTCGGGAGGAAATTGGATAGCCGTGAGCGTATGTTGCTTTCAGGGCGAGTGTTTTACGAGCACTCACCTGTCGTGACGCAGAGCTGGAGAGGCGCATGAACCGCTCGAGCGTGATGTGATTCCACTGGAGAATTGATACTTCTTCGTGTCTCTGAACGAGCCGAAGGCGACCAGCGTGAAGCAAGTGCGGTGTCTATCCATGTCTTGCGCTCGCCATTTGTCAGGCTATGACTCGGGACGTCCACCTGTGGGACGCTCTGTGCGTGCCTTATCAGGGACCGCCGCCCGTCTCGATGCAGAGCACGCTGACACAGAAGCGCGAGCATGTCCAATCGGCCACAGGTCAAACGAATGTCGCCGCATGGTATGTTTGACTCGAGCTGGACGAGCTGACCTCAGGGGCGAGCACATCCTTGCACGGAGATAGACCACAGAGCAAGAGATTGCAACGGCGCCGACATATGAATGCGGGCGTGGCGAAGGGCGTTGAAGGTTGATGATCGGTATCGATGAGAGACTTCACGGCGATGTTGCTGGCAGCGTCATGTGACCCCGAAACGCAAGCTTTGGAGGAGAATACGGACTTGTCCAGGTCGTCGCTATCCTCGTGGTTCTCCTCATGTACTGAGCGCTCATATACGAATTGGAATACGTTACGGAACTTTTGACTACGGAATCGTTGAAATCGGAGACACTCGAAATGCCACCACAACGAACGATCGACACCGGCGACCCCGAGCATCGTAGCAGGATACCGCCAAAGCAGGGTTCGCTTCTAGACATACCTCCTGTCCATTTGAGGCACTGTGCTCCTGGATCTACGCCGTGAGTCCTGCTCATATTACCATAATTTTGCTGAAACTGTATTGTTGCCCTGAGTGAAGCAATACGTGTTTGCAAATAATGTAGATCGGACACCCATGAACCTGACTCCCAGTTATCGTTTTCAGGTACATGGTCCGCTCAGTATCTAGTCTAGGTCATACGCTTCCGGACTTCATACCAACCTGCTGAACCTCGTTCCTCAGGTTATTGCGGTGAGACAGCAAACGATCAGTGCATATGTACTCGCATATACCTCTTCACGATGATCCAAGTCGGAGTTCGCTTCTGAACAAACCTCCTATCCAATCGACTCACTGTGTTCCCGGACCTACGCCGTGAGTGCTGTTCGTATTGCAATGATTTTACCAAAACTGACATCGTCCCGCATGAAGTAATGTATGTTTGCGAGTAATGCAGATCGGACACCCATGAACTGGACTCCCAGTTATCGTTTTCGGGAACATGGTCCGCTCGGCATCTGGTCTAGGACATACGCTTCATGACTTCATGCCAACCTGCTAAACCTCGTTCCTCAGTTTGATGCGGTGAGACAGCGAAGAATCAGTGCATATGCCCCTTTACAAAGATCCGACTCGCTTCTACTCTTGCAGCATCGAAGGTGATGACACATTGAACATCGTTGAAGAACAAGGCCACGATCAAATTCGCTATCACTCGAACGCATAGTTCTGACCTCCATTCTGCCG